GGAGCACAAGTCAGGTAACCAGCAGCAGCTAGAACTGTGCAGACCACAGATGGGCCAGTGCCCGGGTGCCAGGTCCTCGGAGGATCCCTGGAGGAGCAGCCCACAGGAGGCAGAGGACAATGACAAGGAAGGGTGGCAAGGACAACACACAGACAGGAAGATGAGGCGACACGGGCATCTGTTTGCAGAGAGGGGAAGTGTGGCAGGAACCACGGCCAGAGGAGACGGCCCAGAGCCACGTGGAAGAGAAAGGGGCCAGCAGCCGGAGGGCCTGGAAATGGGCAGAGCGACGCCATCCAGAAAGGAACTCAGCCCAGCAGGACTTCAGGGCCAGCACCGGCAGACGCTGATTACCTGGCACAGCCTCACAACCCTCACTGCCTGGGATGTTTATTCAGCAACTCCAAGTCCAAGAAAAGTCTCTTTAGTGTCCCTGCAACAGCCAACACTCAGGATGCCGCCCAGTCCCGACCTGCTTCGGGCAATCTCTGAATTCTGCACCCTTCTCTCCTCTCTCCATGCGACTGTGCTAGGAACACAAGAATGACAGAAGCCTTCCTGTCAGCAGCCGCTATGGAGAGGGGCCAGGCAACATCTCAATGCGAGCCAGGGCCCGGTGGCTGCAGATGACATGGGTGTTACCCCTGAAAGACATCCTCCCCAAACTGCAGGGGCACCTGCACCACCATCACCAAGAAGGGCCCTGTAGCCCATGGCAATGGCAAGTCCTTGCAGCAACTAGTTTCCAAGGGGGCAAAGTACCAGGATACAAAAAAGTGCCCAAAGCGTCTAGGGAGCAGCCTCTGAGAAGTAGGTAGAAGCCAAATCAGAAAGGGGCTTGCACTGTGGCACAGAGAGTTAAGCAGTCGACTTCAATGCCAGCATCCCATATGGATGCTGGTTCGAGTCCCAGCTGCTCCACTTCTGATCAAGCTCCCTCACTAACGCACCTGGGAAAAGCAGCATTAGATGGCACAAGTGCTCGGGCCCCTGCCACCCATGTAGGAGACATAGATGAAGCTCCTGGATTCTGCCTGGCCCAGCTGTAGCCATTACAGCCATTCGGGGAAGTGAACCAGCAGACGGAAGATTCCAACTCTGCCTCTCAAATAAATAAAAATTTTTAAGAAGAAAGAAAAGAGTTTGTTCGTCAGCCAGAAACACATCCATGCAGAAGGGCCTGAGAATTTGAGCTACACGTGTTCAGCAAGCACCTCCGTGTGCCAGGTGCCTGTTCTAGACTCTGGAGCAACCACAGTGAAGCAGAAAGAGCCCTGCTCTGCCGGCGCCTTCTTCCCCCGGAGCTGGGCGGCCGTGGAGCATGACAGGGTTCAGCGTGAACAGGGCAGATGGCAGCTGCACACATCACACCTGCACAACAGTGTCACAAACAGAAGCAAAAGAGGAGGCCAGGTGAGGCCTGGCAGGGAGCTCACAGCCTCATCTGCGTGGGTCAAAGGTGGATCTTCACCAATCCGGCTGTCCTCAGCCCTCTAAGTGTTGCTGTGGCCTTGACTCCATCCCCAGGCACAGAGTCTGTGACCGGCCGGATGTGGCCGGGAGTCTCAGCTGCACAGACTGTCCGCCCAGCACAGCTGCCTCTCAATAGCCAGGACCCTGTGATCACCTGCTGGGGGCCTTTAAGAGCCTTGAACCCAAAGACGTTTCAAGATGAGATAAGGCATTGACTCTTCCTAGGGCATAGTACTGCGAATTTTATTTGCTAATTGTAAAAACCCAGAGTGACTCAAGATACAAAAAACTTGAAAAGCTAATAGCCTGAAATAACAAATCTGACTTTTTTCCCCCCAAGAATGGCTTCATCTGCATTTGTAGAAACAAGATGGCCTGTGAACCAGCTCAGCAGTACTGGGGCTGGGCCGCTCCCCTGAGTGCACACTGGTCATCTTCCCTCAGCCGCAGACAGACAGCACTTCTCACCCAAAATCCTGCGAGACCCTTTTATCTCCTTCTGAACATCCAAGATGCCCAATCCTTTCTCGATGGCAACAGTAATAGTGATTTTTTTCGTTATATATCATTGTATTTTTTTTCTTTTTTTAAACTTTTATTTAATAAATATAAATTTCCAAAGTACAGCTTTTGGATTACAGTGGCTTCCCCCACCCATAACCTCCTTCCCACCTGCAACCCTCCCATCTCCCGCTCCCTCTCCCATCAGTATCACTGTATTTTCAAAAAATCTTTTGGTAATAAATCTCCATCACTTTATAAGCAAAAATCAGATTTACAAAAACAAATTGTCTTTTTTAAAAAGGATGCATAGTGTCTTGTTACTATAACTGCAACTCTGAATATTTTACTTACACAAGCAAAGGAAAGAAACGACTACTGAACAATGCAGAGTCCGTGAGGGCAGCTGGAAGAAAAAGGGCTTAGGCAGAAGAGTCGCACAGACCCGGCTCAAATCCCAGCTCCAACACGCACCAGCTGTGCAACCTCAAGCAAGTTTCACAGCCTCTCTGATCCACCACTGTGAAGACTATGGGACTTCCTGGGCAGTGGTAAGAAGCCAGGTGCCTGAAGGTATACAACGCCATGGGAGGGAAAAAAAATAATAACCTTCTCCCAAATGTGACAAAGGTACTCCAAGATGATGGCTGATGTAAAAGAAATGGGTGATTTGAAAAGAAATGCAGTAAACAAAAACAAGACTTAAAAGCAATGTGCTTATGGCTGGCCACACCCAGACATGAGGAGGCAACCAGGCAAACCCCTACAGGGGCACCTGAGAGGCCCGCTACAAAGTGCCTAGGGCAGAGCTGGCCCCACCGTTTGCTGCTCTTCTCCTCCTACACAGGAATGCAAAGGAGTAGGAGCAGCAGGCCAGCAGGGCAGCTGTCTCCACTGATGTTAACAGCCTGCTTCATTTTGGGGTGTCAACAGGCAATCAATCAAGAAAAACATCAGGGATCGGGAAATACACAAGGGATAGAGCTGGAGACAGGGCAAATGCACACTCTAACCCGGAACCAACTGGCCTGTACTGCTGTTGAAATAATCGCCGCAGTGTACCAGACACCCACAATGTATGCCCTGATGTCCCCCGTCACAGCTGGGGAACCAGTCAACATGGTGGGGTCTGCAGAGCGAGACAGCGGGAAAGGAGGGTCAGAGACGTGGGCGCCCTCGGGCTGGCATTCAGAGGGTGCGCATTCCTTATTACCAGCAACAGGAAACTTGCACTCCCACTAAAACCTGGACAGGCACCTGAGACCTGACCACACTCAGCTACCCCTGGCCAGCAAGCAGAGCCCCCGAGCCAGCGAGCCAGCGCAGGATGCCTGGAGCACCTGATTGTCATTCAAATGTCTCCCGGTCAACCCGCTGCACAAACCGCCTGCTTCTTTAACCTGTTCTTGAATTATTTACTTCCGTCCCCTGAGCGAGAGCAAATCCTTCTTGCTGGTCACCTGCTCTGTTTCGGGGGCTGGTTCGGAGAACTCCAACCCTGACGGACTTGGAAGGAGCTCTCCAGTACCCGCCATCCTCTGGACCGCACAGAAAGAAACAGCCAAAGGAGCCTTCCAAAGAAGCCAAAGTCCCTCTAAAACGGACTGCACTGTTCAGGTCTGATCTCTTCCGTGTCCCTTTTCATTCTAAAATCGGTAGCTTCATTCTCCCTTAACATCTGCTAACAACTCCAAGGCTCAATTCCTGCCACAGATCAGATGCCACACGGGGGACAGGGGAGAGGGTCCCATCACCTGTAACCAGTCAGGGGTGGCTCCTGCATTTGTGTTCCTTTTCAGCCCTCGTGGATGTGCAGTCTTAGAAACAGGAGGAAGCTCAGAGAGCCTGCAGGTCAGCAGCCTTCCTCCTCCAGGGGTTTCCTTCTCCTCCCTATCAGAGAACCTGGGGCAGAGCTGCCTGGTCCTATTTTAAGATAAACCCTCTCACTCTATAGAAACCAATTTAACTCGCGATGTTATGTGGGCCTTCACGGTGGGACATCTCCCCAGACGTGAGTGCGAGAGCTCCCCGGGGCTGGTGGGAACTGTCTCTGGGTCCTTCTCTGACCCTGCACTTGTAGTGCCGGGTAAGGATGCTAACGATGGGAGACCAAGAAGTGATGCGCTTTCTGAAACCCCTGACTTTGGCCATTCTCCCCAGCAAGCCCCCCCCCCAGCCCTCCCCCCCCACCCCGAGAATCAGGATAGGAGAAGGCAGTCCCCAGAATGCAATGGTCTCGCTGGACATTGCTCAGCCCTGACACAAGGCCCCACCACCTCCGTGCTGCTGCTGCTCCTCCTCCTCCTTGAAGCTCCCGGTCCTCTATTCCCAACCACATTCGAACTGCGGCCCAGGACTGCCCACAACTTGGTGTGGCCCCTGGGTGGGTGGCAGGCAGCTTGTGCGGCCAAGGGGCTGCCGCTGCCGCGGTGCACAGAGTCTTCAGCAGCTGGGTGGCCCTGACCCTGGGGGCTTTCCCCCATGCTCTGTGAATCCCTGCCCCACCGCATTTTCCACTGCGCCCAGGCCCCTGGTTTCCCTCCCCTCTTACAGGGCGCTCCCGCCGTGTTTCCACCGTGCGTCCAATTATGTCTAAATGCAACCCAGCACAGATGCTGACATTTTCCAGGTTGAGTTGTTATAGTTACTTGACTAATTGCCGGCCCGACGGCGGCGCTGCCTCCCCTCCCGCCGGCAGGAGCGGAGCGGGCGGGGGACTCAGGAGGGGAGACGGGGTTGTCGTCGCCGCCACTGCCTGGGGTTGGGACGCTGGGCCAGCCACCGGGCGCCAGAGGCTCCCCCGCCTGCACCTGGGACACCGCAGGCGAGCCTGGGACCGCGGGGCTCGGGACGCGACCAAAGTCTCCTGCCCCGGCACGAGGGTCTGCGCCGCAGGTGCGCGCAGCCGGCTGCCCGGTGTGCCCACGCGCGCAAGGGGCACAAAGTGAGCCGGCAACGGGAAGCAGGTGGAGAGGGGCGCGCTTGGGGCCCGAGGAAAGAGTCGGACACCGCCGCGAGTTACTCACGTGCCAGATAGCGAAGAAGATGAGCGCGGCGCACAGTACCAGGGACAGCATGTAACAAAACGCAGCGAAAGTGAAGGCCATGGCCGGCAGACTCCAGTCCCACCGCACACGAGAAAGCGCTTGGGAGACCACCGGCTTCTCGAGGGCCGCGCTCCCTCAGCACCGGGGCAGCAAGAAAGCACGTCTGCGCGCGCCCCTCCAGGCCGGCGGCTAGGAGGCCCCGCCAGCCGAGAGACGCCCTCGGGGCAGCGGCGAACCGGAGCAGGATTCTCACAGGCTCTGGCGACCTGGGACGCGGCCCGCCCGTCAACAGGGGCAAAGGTGCGTTGATTGTCGTTGGCATGCACTGTCCCCAGATCAGCAGCGAACACCTTCGAGTTGGTGCCAGCCAGCGAGCCCCCCGGAAAGCACCACGGCTAGGGATGCGAGGACCCCACCGAGGCCCGAGTGAGACGGTCCCGGCCGCCCGGAATCCCCGGGAAGAGCCCGCTGCGGTCTGCGTCCAAGTCGGAGAGGAGAGGCGAGCGCGTCCCCCGGGTGCAGACCCAGGGACTCCGAGCGCCTCCTGAAACCCAGAGCCGGCAGCGGCTCCGTCCTGGGAGCACAGTTCGTGAGGTAGCCGAGAGCAGCCAGGTGCCGCTGGTTCTGCGCGCCGGACGCGGCTCGCCACGCAGCTGTGCGCTCAGCTGCGCGCCCGGCCCCGGCTCCAACCGCGGCCGCGAACCCGCCGGCCTCGGTACCCAAGTGCCAGGAAATTGGGGGTTCGGACCAGGGCTGGCAGGGGCTTCGGCCCCGCGGGTCAGCAACTGCCCCCAGGGCGTCTGCAACGGCGGGTTTCAGGCCGAACGGAGCTCGCTCCACCTGCTGCTGCTGCTGCTGCTGCCACCACCGCCGCCGCCGCCGCCTCTGCTGCTGCGAGAACCTTGGCGGCGCAGCCGGGATCCCCTCCCTCCCGGCGCCCCACCCTCGGCTCCGGCTCGCCGAGCTCGCCCCCCCTCCCCACGGCGGGCGGGGCCCGAGCCTGCTCGGGGGCTAAGCGCCGCAGGGCGCTCGGTGGCCCGTGCGGTCGCGCGCGCCCGGCTCTCGCAGCAAACTTGAGGCCCGGCGGGGCTGGCGGCTGAGCGCAGGTGGGGCGCGCCGGGGCGGAGAGGGGACTCTTTAAACACGTGCGTCTGGAGGCGGCGGGAAGCTGCGGAAGGGTATGACGCGGGCCTCGAGACCCGGCGCGGCCGCCGCTGCAGCGGGTTTTAGCGCTTTCGCCCACCCGGGCGGGACGTGGGGGCGCTTGGGCCTTCGGGTGTCTTGCGTTCAACAGTCCTGGTACCCTGGAGCCGCTCGGGTGCATTTCCCTTGATTGCCAGGCACCCAGCGCCCTGGGTTGTGTTTGCAGCTCTGCTCCCAACCTCTGCAAAAGTCTCCTTCCCTCGCACCCTCCAGCCTCCTCTGCCATCCGACCTCGGGCTTGCGGGGGCCCCTCTGGGGTCCCTGTCACTGGTGTTGGTTGGTCCCGTGGAGCCAGCAAGAGGATGTAGTTTGGGGGGCAGAGCCCTCTCCCGCCGCAAGTCTCTTAACGGTTTTAAACCTGGGCTTCCCTGAGCTGAGAAATAAGAATAAAAGTGCATCATTTAAAAGGACTAAATGGGAACACAGAAAACCCAGGCCACAGCCCGACACTTGGTGCACACTCGGTAAATGGCAGGGCTTCGTGTTACTCAGCGGCCCAGCAGCTTGAAATCCCCCCTGCTTGCTCCTCCCAGGACAGCGGGAGCGGGTCCAGCCATTGAAGATAGAAATTGAATTCCAGATAAATCCGTCCAGAGAGTGTGGAGAGAGACCCCGGAAGATGACCGGCAAATCTGGGTAGCAGACTGGAACCACATCGTTGTTTGCAGTGGATCTCGGAGTACCTGGTCCCCTGCACAGGTGGGCACAGATGAGCCGGTGTTGCCTGGTTCTGGTGCTGGTGTGCTAACTGCCCTGACCGGAAAGGCGCTGCCCATGGCTTTAGAGCCGGAAGGGATGCACTGCTGAGAGCTGGCGGCACAGCCCGCTCCTGACAGACGCCCACATCCCTGCAGCTGGCTCACTGCACCTGCAACCTAGAAACCGGAGCCCTTCAGTGGGAAGTGGGGAGCCTGGAGCACGTGCAGTACGCGCTGCAGTGGGCACAGATCAACGCTGAACTGCCTCGTGGCTGACTAGCTCTAGACTTTGGAGAGCCAAGCACGAAATGAAACGTGAGGCTTCTCTTTAAAAATGAAGAATTTCAAGAAAGAAAGAGCAGAGCACGAGGCCAAGTTGGAGGCCCTTCTGAGCAGGAGACCCTGGCAGCTGTAGAGTGCACACCTGGGAGCCCGCCCTCCTCTTGGTTCCTCCCACTCCCTCCCTCCCCCTCTCTGCCTCCTCTCCCCCACTTCTCCCTCTGCTTAAACCTGTCAGGTGGATAAATCAAGGGGGGGGGGGCAGAGAACTATTTTAAAAAGAAGGAACTATAGAAAACACAGAAAAGATGCAGCAAACATTACCCCACTCTCAGATACTGCAGCACAGCACAAGCAGTGGTCTATTTCTTTCTAGTGCTGGGTTGGGTTTTTGTTTGTGTTTTATATTTTTACACAGATGATTTATTTAAGATTTTATTTTTATTTATCTGAAAGAGTTACAGAAAGGGAGGAGGGAAGGAGAAAGATCATCCATCCACTGGCTCGCTCCCCGGATGACTGCAAGGAGCCAGGAGCTTCTTCCGGGTCTCCCACTCGGGTGCAGGGGCCCAAGGACTTGGGCCATCTTCTGCTGCTTTCCCAGGCCAGAGCAGAGAAGCTGGATCGGAAGTGGAGCAGCTGGGACTTGAACCGGTGCCCACATGGGATGCCAGCACTGCTGGCAGCGGCTTTACCCACTATGCCTCTGCACTGGCCCCAACACAGATGAATTATTTCAATTGTTGTAATTATATTACAAAAAAGGTTGTGACAAAAACAATGAAGAAAAATTTGACCCACTCACTGCAGCCACCTCCGCCCCTCGAACTTCAGCAGCTTTGTCGCCAGAGTCCCGGAATTCTCGCTTTCTCCTGAGTCCGCTGCATCAGATGACCGGCAGACACGGCGGTGGACACCGGCTCCGAGATCCCCACCAACGACTTAAAGGAGGAGGAGGAGGTTGTGGAGGAGGCGGAGAATGGAAGAGACGCCCCTGCCACGGGGAATGTGAAGGAGATGGGGGGCAGGGGCGGACAGTGAGGCAGAGGGAGAGGAGGAGGAAGAGGATGAAGATGAGGTGGCCTAGGCAGCTACAGGCAAAGGGGCAGCCGAAGATGACGAGCGCAACAGTGTTGACACCAAGAAGCAGAAGACTGATGAGGATGACTAGAGAGCAAAAAAGGAAATGGTAAACTTAATAAATAAAAGGCCGCCGGGACCTACTCGCCCTCCACTTCCCGTCTCAGATCTAAACCTGGTCACCTTGGAGGAGAGAGGCCGCCCACCGCGGCAGCGCCACCTGCAGGCGACTGCGCGCTCTCCACTGCCCAACCGGGAGGAAAAAAGAATCAAAACTCCCAGGCCCTGCTTTTTTTCTTAAAAGTATTGTAAAAAGGAAAATTTTTTGGTATTTTTTATTTACATTTTATATTTATATACACACTGCTAGGGGTCAGCCATTTTTAATGATCCCGGGATGACCAAACCTGCCTTCAAAGGTGTGACCATGTTCATTATCATCTCAAAGGAGAAAGAAAGCCTTGTAAAAATAAATAAATAAATAAATAAATAAATAAATAAATATCTTCTGGTCGGCGCTAATCCTCCACCTGCGGCGCTGGCACACCGGGTTCTAGTCCTGGTTAGGGTGCCAGTCCTGTCCCGGTTGCCCCTCTTCCAGGCCAGCTCTCTGCTGTGGCCAGGGAGTGCAGTGGAGGGTGGCCCAAGTGCTTGGGCCCTGCACCCCATGGGAGACCAGGAGGAAGCACCTGGCTCCTGGCTTCAGATCAGCGCGGTGTGCCGGCTGTGGCGGCCATTTGGGAGGTGAACAAGGAAGACCTTTCTCTCTGTCTCTCTCTCTCACTGTCTGTAACTCTCTCTCTGTCTCTCTCTCTTACTAACTCTGCCTGGCCAAAAATAAATCTTCTCCCAAGCATTCCAGTAACTTTTTGTGTATGTACTTAGTTGTATTATAAATAGTTGCTTTTCTTTTTTTTTGTCTGTGAAGTTGCTGGGTTTTTTTTTTTTTTTTTGGCATGTTTGATGTATGTGTGAAACAAAGTTGTGCAACAATAAACCTGAATTTTATTTTGCTGAGTTGTTCTAAAACAAAAAAGAAAAACTTGATAATGATAATTTGAGTATTTTGAGTCCCTTTAAGCTGATCTGGTCTTTTGTTCCTGCTGTTCTTCCTTATGGTGCCTTAGCTCTTCATGTGTCTAGTAATTTTTTATTGTATGCAAACATTGTTTTAAAAAGTTCTTTGCAAGGGCCAGAGCTGCGGCATAGAAGGTTAAACCTCCTCCAGTGGTGCCAGCATCTCATGTGGAGCACCCAGCTGCTCCACTTCTGACCCAGCTCCCTGCTGATGCACCTGGGAAAGCTGCAGAGGATGGCCCAAGTTCTTGGGCCCCTGCACCCACATAGGAGACTTGGATGAAACTCCTGTCTCCTGGCTATGACCTGGCCCCCAGCCCCAGCTACTGTGGCCATTTGGACAGTTAACCAGCAGATGGAAGATCAATCAATCTCTCTCTCTCTCTCTTTCTCTCTGCCTTTCAAACAAATAAACAGATCTTGAAAATAGAAAATATGTCCTGGGACACAATTACTGAAAGCCATGAGACAAGGTGAAGCTAAATTAATCGTTAAAAAAAAATTCCTTGCAGACATTTGAGGCCCTAAGATGATGTTATGTTTTGGAGAAGTATCTATTTCTTTTGCTAGTGTCTAAAGGAACATCACACTCCAGAATTAGTTTAATCTAAATTCAGAGTTTGAGATTTTCTGGGTTGCAGCAGACTTGATGTCCAGAGGTGCAGCAGCCATCTTGTGACTGGGGGGGTGGTGGAGGGTGGAGAGAATCGTTATATTAAGAATGGAGGGGCCGGCACTGTGGCATGGCTGGTAGAGCCGTTGCCTGCAGTGCCAGCATCCCTTATGGGTGCCAGTTCAAGTCCTGGCTGCTCCACTTCTGACCCAGCTTTCTGCTATGGCCTGGGAAAGCAGTAGAAGACGACCCAAGTCCTTGGGCCCCTGCACCCACGTGGGAGACCCAGAAGAAGCTCCTGGTTCCTGGCTTCAGATCAGCGCAGCTCTGACCATTGCGGCCATCTGGGGAGTGGATGGAAGCAGATGGAAGACTTTCTCTCTCTGCCTCTCCTCTCTCTGTGTAAATAAATAAATAAATAAATAAATAAATAAATCTATCTTTAAAATCTTTTAAAAAATAGAAAAATTAGAAAAGCTAAGAATACAGGAGTCAGGACACTGACAACAGAATTAAGCCACCTTAGCAGCCCTTAACTTCCTATTCCTTTACTTCTTTTGACTGAAACACTTTTGTAACCCATGGATATAAGGTATTCTGTTAAAGGTAAACACAATTCTTGGCTGAGACCACGGTTTCACTGGGGGTGGGGGGAGATTTCCTGTTACTACAGGAAATCAGCTTATGGCTGGCAGGGCAGTTCCATGATGCCATTAACATGCTAGGTTCCTCTGACCTTGACTCACCATTGTTAGCTTGTGCATTTGGTGCCCGTGGTCACAAGAAAGCTGCCGCACTTCCAGCCATCACGCCCATCTTGCAGGCAGAAAGAAAATAGTCAAAAGTTTTCATCTCATGGAGGCAGGTGTTTGGGGGAGAGTGAAGGAAGCCCTCCCTGGCAATCCTACATCTCAAGGGATAGGACTCTAACAGT